AAAAGATCTGCTATGAGATGTCATGAGAACAAGACCGATCGTGAACATCTATGAGTGGCAATAAGTCGACATTTAAAAACTCTCGATATGTATTTCCTGAATAGTCACAGGTTGAATGTATATAAAAAGGGCGTTTTGTTACGGTTTTGAGCATTTTGGCTTTGAGAATTATTTACTACAACCAAACATCTGCTAATGAATGAAGTATTATTTAATAAACAGAATAACATTAAACATGTATGATCATCGAGATCATGATTTTGTTAGTTTTCTACTGTATTCTTAATAAACAGTAATACGTACTTCTAAAATGGACAAAATCCGTCGACTGACTGCAGTTTAACCGGAAATGTATCCTTTGGCATTTACGTAATTTATTTATTGCTTAATACATGGCGTTTCATCTTTTCTTACTATGTAATAAACATTTTACATTGCATAATACTCTGTGTGTATCGCATATAACCAAAGATATTGTTTTAAAGCTTAAAAGGTTTCATTTCAAACCTCAAGGGAAGGGAATGAGATACTTGTAAGTCAAGAATTCTATGAACAAATGTGTCAACAGCTAAGCCTAATTTATTGGTTTAGTGTTTATGATGGAAACATTTTTATTATTCTACCAAAATGAGGTGACTAAGAATTTATTATTATTTTGTTTCTCTGAGATGAAAATAGACTTAAATCTGAATGATATCTACATAAAATATATAAACAACAGTTATTGTGACCTGAGGGGTAAAAGAAAAAAATCATGGCGAAACAGCATACCGGAAATCACTAATTCAGTTCTTGTGATCGATATCATATTACCAATTCTTTTTAAAGAAAGATACTGCGATTTTTCTCTAATTCCCATGAAAATATTAAAAAAGAAGAAGAAAAAGCTTCAGTTTAAACGAATTTATGATCAGTCTATACACTAATTTACAACTTAGCAATTAAAAATTCACAGTAATTATGCTGTTCCCTAAAAAATATATATGATAACAGAAATTGTTACCTAAAATAATAAAAGCTTTACAGGATTTTTATGATCAAGGTAGAAAACGTGAAACTAGAATGGATAAAACTCTAAGCATATATAAGTAAGGGATGTGGAAGTGTTCATGATTTATACGACATTCTATGGCACCAAGTTGATATTGCATATCGATTACCAGAGTGAACATCAACTCTGAGATGCAGGTACATCCAGCTGACGAGTACCAAATAGGACGAAACGCGCATCCTGGATTCCACTGTTAGCCCCTATTCATCTTTGATTATATTAGTGTTCATCGGATCCTATCAGCCACATTTATATTGTGACAACTAAATTAGGTAAGTATCACAGTGAACTTGGTTTGAAATATTTAAAAGCTTTTAATAGAAATTACCGGAGTCAGACAAGACTTCTTATTCTATCCCTTCCTCTTTCTTCTGATGGTCCACGATCTTTATGAAAACCTCAACATGTGATGGAAAGAAAAGAATAAAATGGACAGCTTATAATCAATTAGAAGATTTGGGCTTCGCAGATGACCTGACCCTCCTATCCTATACACACGAAAAAATGCAGATGAAGACAACTAGTGTAGCAGTAGCCTCCGGATTATTACGCCTCAACATACACAAAGGAAAAAGCAAGATCCTCAAATATAACACAGAGAACACCAACTCAATCACACCTGATGTAGAAGCTCTGGAAGAGGTAGAATCTTTCACGTACCCGGGCAGCAGCATCATCGATGAACGTGGAGGATCCGATGCAGACGTAAAGGTAAGGATTGTCAAAACAAGGAAGGCATTCTTACAATTGAAGAACCTATGGAACTCAAAACAACTGTTAACAAATTTCAAAGTAAGAATCTTCAATAGAAACGTCAAGACAGTTCCAGTGTACGGAGATGAAACTTCGGGAACTAAAACAACCATCATCAAAAAATTACAAGTATTTATAAACAATTGTCTACACAAAATAATCAATATCCGTTGGCCGCATACCATCAGCAACAGTCTACAGTGGGAGAGGACAAACCAGCTTCCAGATGAAGAGGAAATCAAGAAAAGACAATGGAAGTGAATAGGACATGCATTACATAAATCATCAAACTGCATCAAGAGGTAAACGCTAACTTGGAATCCTGAAGGGGTACGGAAAAGAGAAAGATCAAAGAGCACACTGCGTCGAGAAATCAAAGCAGATATGAAAGGGATGAATAAGAACTGGAAATGATTGCCCAGGACAAGGTTAGATGGAGAAGGCTGTTGGGTGTCCTACGCTCCTCCATGAGGGGTAACAGGCGTGAGTAAGTAGGAATTCGTAAACCTAACTTTTGTACCTTGGAGAAGAAATGTGACCTCGAGCGTTTCTCACTTAATGTCGTATTTAGAGACATTATGTGAGAGAATTATGGTGGTGACAAACACTGTAACGATGTGGCGTTGTCTAATTATACGGATAGAAATACGTATATGTAGCAGGACTAGGAAGTGAAATGCTTATAGGCAGATTGTAATAAACAGAGGAGAAAGAAAAACAGAGAGCAATAGGAATAACAACAGGAATGGATGAATGATGGGGTATGTAAACGACAACTCAAGGAATATATGTAAATGTATTTAGTATATGATTTTCGTATTTTACAAAGGCAATGTGTGATTTTGTACAATAAATCAAAGAGCGTCACCGCATTTTAGTTTTCGTTCACTACGATCCTACAATACAGGGCTATTTACAACCACTGAATCATATATAAATGGATAAGTTGGCGAAAAATAATTAATGTTCATTTCAAACTGAAACCCTTATGAACATGGGGCAAATAATGGTGAAAAATATAAAGCATATCCAGTTAATAGTGTAATCGACGAAAAACAAACAAATTATAGGTAATAGTAGTAATAGAAAAATACTAGTTACATTTAATAACATATTCCAGAAAAACTAGAATTTCTTACTGATTTAAGCTTTCTTTCACAAACAAAAATTTTCAAATGTATACAAAAATAGTTTTGATCGTAACTGTTGGGGAGACGAAAAAATCACAAAAGGGTCACCAATAAGCCGGGAAACATCTTACCCCATCAGCATTCAATATAAGTCCCTTAGAGGCATCTAGAAAGTGAAGTCACGTGTCATATTTCTGATTGGATAATTGCCTATTCTGCTACTATGTTTAGAAGGTTTTCAGAACTTTCCGGAAACCCAAGGTCATCTGAAATGTTATAAATAACCTAGATTTTCTGCCCATTCACTTACTTTGGAGTAAAACGTTCTTCCTGTATTTCGTGCCTTTTCTCTCGTGTTCAAGTTGCTTACATTTATGAAAATGGATTAATGGTAAGTTTCAAGGCTTTCTTCCTTCATCTACCGATAAACTCAATAACAGACCATTGAATGTCGTGATATTTGAATATCGTTGACAAAATTAGTGTAATTTAACTTACCTGGTAAATGTATTTTAACTACACATATGCGGTGACACAGATAATTATAATAGTAATGATGAGCCGAAAAACATAAGATTAGTTTTTCTTAATTCAAGCAGTCTCTTTGTGACGGTTGAAGATACTTAGAGTTCGAAGAGTTACATTCACCGCAATTACGTACTCGGGGTCAACCAACATCAAAAAACTGTTTTAGCCTCTTAGAGTATTCATATAAGAATAACAAATGATTTTACAATCAGCAATTTCTAAGCTACATCTAAGGTGATGATCTTAAAAACAACAGTCAACTCTTAACACAGCAAAGCAAAAAATGATTACTTCAGTATAGGCAGACAAAAAAATTGCATCAACCATTAAGGGAACAGTAATTACCAAATAACAGATGCAATATATATGAGAAATTGTATGGCAAAAACGTGGCTACTTATGAGTAATACTGTTTTTAAACACAAATTTCAGAGTATCAAACACGGTTGTACATGTGATAAAATATATTATAATTTGACTAGACAATGTGTTATATAACAATAGATTAATGAATCTGTTTTAAAAAAGTCGAATGTTCAAATCAATCATTATAACACCTTGCTAATATTGAGATCCAAAAAACTATATAATTACTGAATTCGCTAGAGGGTCGTAAACTATTCTAACTGATCCTCAGATAAACAATAAAATCATCTTAAAGCTTTTTCACGACTAAATTGTGAATATTCACTTGGTGTTGTTTACTTGTATCTTCCCATTGTTATTTATGACTGCAATTGATCAGTCTTTTGTTGACATATGTGTATCCTGTGCGGACTGCCTCGATATCGCCTGAAGTCACAAGCTTTATAAGCAGTGATGGATAGTGGCTAGCAGTGGAATCCAGGACGCGAGTTTCGTCCTAGTTGGGATTCCTCGGCAGGATGTACCTGCATCTCAGAGTTGATGTTCACTATGGGACTCGAACACCATTGCACAAGCAGGTGTCAGTAGGTAAGTGGATAACGCGATGGCGTTTGAAGCGAACGGTACTGGGTTAAAATCCCAGAGTGAGCATCCATTCTGAGACGCAGGTACATCCAGCTGAAGAGTCCCAACTAGAAAAAAACGCGCGTCCGGGATCCCACTGCTAGCCACTATCCATTATTGCTTATAAATTGTGATCAGTTACATAATTGTTATTTCGTTATTAAACAACAGTTACATGCTTTATTTTCGCTAAAACTACCGCAGTATAATTATACATCTCTTCCTATTCGTGTACGCGATTTCCGATCAGAATCGTTTTTCTAATTACATTTTTTTACATAAACTTATACAACTACATATATTGACTAACATTTTCTAGTTTAATAAACAACAAATAAGTGTTATCCACCGAAGTTGCAATACGTTATTGCATTTTTAGGGCCAGATGAAGTGTGATATTCTTAAAGAAAGTCTTTTTTAACCACACTTTCCTTCTGTTTTGAGAAAATAGTATCGCTGCTTGAAGGAAACACTTTACTGCAACTACAACCCAGAATTGTCAGTACTAAAACTTTGCTTGCTTTCGAGATAAACGCTCTCTAACCGAACTTTCTACGATCATGGAGCTTAATGAAGAACAAGTGTTCTAAACAGAACAACTCAACCGTATTATCAAATCACATATGTAGTGGAAATGAGTGTAACCGTGATTACTTTACAACAATTTACTGATCAGTACCAATTCGAATTAATGAGATCGCTTAAATGATCATATTTTAACGTCAAATGTGGAAAAAGATTGATTCGATATCTTTCTTTGCACAGTCAAATGAGTATCAGCGATTAGAAAACTCTGTTTATTTTACATGTAATGATGTGATGAATATATGATATTTGATGTTAATAAAGGAAAAACAAACGAATTCAACATAATGAAAAACTGAAACAATCTATTTTGTTACAAGGATGTGATTGAAAGGGAAATAAAAAGAAAAAAAATAACGAAACAACCAGGAATCAAATAGGTGTCTGTTATGTTCATTATCTTCCAATTTATCCTTTCACACTTTGTTCATTCAATAAACGGTTATAATCGTCAACACCGTCATTAGTTTTTGCACAATGACCATTTTCACTTTCAAGCAATTCATCAGCTTCACGGAGTTTACGACATGTATAAGAATCTGCTTTAGTTCTAGCCATATTCCAATGTTTAGCGAATGCATACTGATAATATGGAATATAATAGGGTAGTCGTGGTAAATCAGAAAATTTCACCTATTCAGGGAATAACGAAAATTCGAATAGTTATGTATGAAAGTGAAATGAATAATACACTATCAAGAGATTGTAATTTTAAAACTGTAAATGAAGTCAGATAAGACATTTTCAGAAACTGTATAAATGTACACTTAAAAAAGAGGCTGATGGAAATCTAGTGCGAGTGTCTTTTTGATCGAGATATGATGAAGCTTACAAAGTCAGATACGAACAGTTAGGACAAGTAGTAGTCACTATTTTTAGTGTATAAATTTAGAACTTTGCAAGTAGCATACACAAGACAGTGAATGCAATCTAGAATATGCAGCTTTTCAATGAAGATCCACATTATAGTAAATAAATATGTATTTTTTTATCATGAATAATTATCTAAAGACTAATAGATGATCATAGACTAATAGATAACCATACATATAACGAACTCAAACCAAAAGGATCACAATTACCGTACATATACGGCCTACCCAAAATACACAAAACCGACGACCCGATAAGACCAATAATATCTATGACAAAATCACCCTTTCATAAACTCGCCCGCTGGCTGACAAGGTGCTTGGAACCAATCCGCAAGATACTAGCACCCTATAGTCTGAAAGATAGTTTTGAATTTGTACGAAAACTTGACAATATAAATGCATCTGATAAATTCATGGTCTCATTTGACGTCTCATCGCTTTTCACCAATATACCCTTAGATGAAGCGGCAGACATCATAGGTGAATATTTGGAACTTTTACCTTTACCAATCCATGAATTCAAACAGCTTCTGTTTCTGTGCACAAAAAACATACAATTCAAATTCAATAATGTATTCTACCGTCAAATTGATGGAGTAGCCATTGGGTAGCCCTTTGGGTTCTATTCTGGCCGACATATTTATGGGGAACCTCGAACAGAAGAAGCTTAGGGATGCTATCGATAGTACCACACTATACTGCAGATACATGGATGACACCTTTCTTGTTTGCGACAATCATAAACACTCCATCAATCTGCTCAGTTTGTTTAATAAAGCACACAAGGATATAGAATTTACGATGGAACATGAAGACGAAGATAAATTCCATTTCTTAGACATTGGAATTAGACGAACACCAGCGGGTACACTACAAAGATATGTTCATCACAAAAACACTTGGAGTGGACTGTATCTCAATTACTACAGTTTCTGTCCGATGAGTTACAAAAAGGGCATTGTACGAACCCTTTACGACCGCGCACGCAAAATCTGCTCCAATGAGTGTATCGAGGAAGAAAAAGTTTTAATCACTAAATGCCTACGTGAAAATGCATATCCAGAGAAATTCATCCACAAATATGCAAACACCAACCGTCGAATAAAATATGATCGAGTTGAAAAGAAAACATGCTTCCTATACCTACGTTTCAAAGGAGACGAAATCGCTGGAATAATTAACCACCGACTTAATTCCGCGTTGAAAGCGACCTACCCAGCAGCTAAACTGACAACAGTGTGGGAAACAAACTGCTCACTCAAACAAACTAAAATCGACAAGTCCTCTTTTCTCAGTAGCTCCAACTGCATTTACCAATTTACATGTACGTGACGAAGCACATACATTGGAAGAACCGAGAGAAAGAGCATGGCCGTGCATGTTCCCAAGAAACTGAGGCTTCAAGGCTCCAGGGCTCTCAACAGTGCGATAGCTCGGCATTTACTCGACACCGGGCACAGCATTGACATTTCTCATGCCTTTAAAATCATTAGTAAACAAAGAAGTACAAAAAAACTCAAACCGGATCTATGTATTCAAAAAGAGACAGTGACAAACTTATTATTACCCTGGTAATCCTTTTTTGTTTCTTTGTTTGTTTCAGTTTTGTTGTTATTAGTTCAATTTTGGTTAATATTCAGTTTTTATTATATTCCCCTCCCCTTACCCGATTCTTAAACCACGCTTTCTTTCACACATTTCCGCTCATTTGTCTCTCCTAATTATATGAACTATCCAAATTTTATTCAATTATTACGTAACCTACCCCAATTGTTTTCAACTACCTCTAAAATAATCACATTTTTGATTTTATCTGTCACTGAACTCCACTCAACTATTACGCCACCCTTTATCCTAATACCTAATAACCTCTGATCTTTCCTTGCCCATATATATATATATATATATATATATATATATATATATATATATATCATCGATGTCTTTTGTTATTTCAATCCTTTACATTCACTTATGTCAGTCGTTCCATTCTATTTATTACCTCAATGCTAAAACTCTAATGCATATTTGGTTGTAAGCAGCTGATGAGAAACCACGAAATATAATGAATTCATATTATTCTGCATCAATATTTGTTCTGTCTTTATTTAAATCTTAAGACTAAATGAAAATATCAGTTTATGGGCTGATACAATTAGGATCTCATATTGCTGCCTATTTATTGTGTGTGTTGTAAACTATAGTTAGTAAACCGGTTTAAGAAGATCAAAGCTATTGAGTATTCTTAATTTTTGTACGATGAAGCGGGATGAGTAGAAGAAAAATTAGTAAACCTAATGGGAGTGAATAAACAAAATCACACATACCTACACTGTAAACGATTGTCTATTCTTAGCATATCTTGAAGAAAAACCAGATTATTAATAAATGTGTGCTACATTTGCTTAAGACTAACGAGACATACATCCCATTCTCACGTATGTTTTGTTTGGTAATGTTTCATTGGGGTTCGAAATTATCTTACAACCTTTAACATTACCAAATTGAAGGAGCAGTGTTTCTTTTTTTGATTGAAATAAAAATTAATGGCGATAATCCTGCTTTGTTTCTTCTTAACGAAATCTTGGAGACAAATTTTAAAACACGAAAAGAGAAAAAAAGATATGTACCGTCATAAAATCAAAAGATGCGGCCACATCCGATTTAAATTCATCTATCGGTGGTACACGTCCATATCGTTGACTAAAATGATTTAATAGAATGAACGAAGCATTCATATCACGTCCAGCTTGAATAGCTTGACTCGTTGTGCTTTAATATAACGAGAAATCAGAAACAAAAAAGAAAGATCAAGCAGACTGAAGCGTTTATTGATAGATATTTAGATAGAAAAATCATAGTCATAGGTTAGTTTGCCAACAACTTGACTACTTTTCATGATGAAAAATGTTGGATAGCCTGTTCGAATGTCTAAAATGCACATACTTTATTGGGTTAAAAGCGTAACATGTGATGAATATCGTCTGACGATAACTATCTGTTCATAATGTTTGTACGGTGTCCAATTCTAATAAGTGGTAAACATGCTTTCTGTTAGTGAATCCAACCAGCTATCTGGGTGGGAATATAGATTTTTAATAGACAGCAGAATCAATAAATAACTATGCACTCATATATATATATATATATATATATATATATATATATATATATATAATAGTGGGGCATCTCGATCCTTTGAAAAGGAAGTTACACCTTAATGTGGGGCATATCGTATGGTCGATGTCTAACTAGCCTACTGTATCAGTTCACAACTTGACACGTGAATTCACGTTATATCGTTTGACCGACTGTTACAAATTCAAGTTTATTAATCACTAAGTCATCCAACTCTAATGAGCGCAAGTTACAGATACAGCAATATAATCATTATAAGGGTATACAATTATGCTCATACAAAAAAACGTAACAATATAACGGCCATATAACAGATATCTATACATGCATGCTTGGTAACAAATCTTACTCAACCTATCAAAAATGAAAATGCAGATAAGGAATCTAAATATTTGAATACATTTCATTGAAAGTTTTAATCCGTTATATAACTTTTTAAGAAATTTATAGTGTTATTTTCTTTAATATATTCCAATAGTAAAATAATAACAACTCTAGAGTTAATTAATACATCTTGTGTGTAGAAAAAGTTGATCTGGAAATGTCAAAATTCATGAACTGTTACCCTGAGAATCATATTGTATTTTGCAAGACAATCAGATAAGTTATCTAAAAAGTATCTCTATAGCTTTCAAGGCTCTAGGTTAAAATAAAACGCACGTTTTTGTGAAAGTTGAAAAATGATTAGCAGAGGAATCCAGGTGTCGCGCTTCATTATATTTGGGACTGATTAGCTGGGTGTATCTGCATTTGTGCTGTACACAATAGGACTCTGCAATGTTCGAAGGATTAAGATAATACGTACGACTGGCGAAAGGAACGAAAGTCAGCAACACAACAACATGATAAGCTAAGCTATTTCACTGCGCCTCAGTCCTGCTAACTGAAGGAACAAGACCAGATTCAGCCAGGAAAATATATAATGCCCCAAGCAACCAAAAAAAGCGAACAACAAACATACAACTCATGAGTGTATACACAGTCTAGAAATGTCCTGGAAAAAAGTCACAAATAACGTACTAAAAGAGAAGACGAACCAATAACATTTAAGGCTCTTCCATGTGCTAAACACAAACTGAAATTAAAAATGGGAAGTTTACCAAGTGATTTCTGAGGATTTAGTATCTCCAATAGACTTGAACCCAGTACCTTTAGCTACAAACACTAATGCGTTATCCTCTGAGCTATCAAGTCAAAAAACTACTAACTCTATTAGTTATTCAAAACAAAACGGGACAAATCCTATAGTCAATATGTATATATTCATTTAGGTAGGAATAACAAAATGATCATACAGAATATTACAGAAGAGTGAACATTAAAATATCTACCTGTGCTTTGCTTTAACTGCTAAGTCTACATATTCATCATTTACAGTAGCTTCGTGTATGAGTAAATCACAATTTTTTCCAGCTCTCACAAGTTCAGGACATGAAGGGGTATCACCAGAATAAACAATAGACCATTTTCGTTGTGTTTCAGAACAATTTTCGGCAATATTTTTATTGTTTACCAAATTTTTGAATGGATAAGGATTATCAATAATAAACGCCCATGATGAATGTGTGTGCGGAACCTTGACCGGTCGGATCTAAATAACAAGAAAATAGATTTAAACAAACTTTCATGAATTACATTTCTGCAGTTAGATGTACAACTCAGGAATTACTCAATAAGATCGTTTATAAATCTGTGAATATCAAATAGACCAAAAGAAGGACGTATATATTCGATAATGCTAAACAACACCAGTATAGAAATAGATTAGAATGTAATGTAACCTATTTACTACGAATATATTTGTGTATTCTGAGTCATACTATTTTTTGAGAAGTGGTAGGGATACAATCTAGTTTCATAAACTGGAGTACGTAACGTGAGATTGGAACCTAAAACTTATTAGTTGATAACCGACTAGTTCAGCTATTAAGCTATAAAACAGCAGAGGGAAAGTGGGCTTCTTAATCAAGAGTATTATCATACTGTGGTGTATGCTACTTATGTAACATCAATCAAAAGTTGAATGGCTGGCAGCAGAATGTTAAGAAGAAAATAGAAGGGGACATAGAAAGAAATTATGAACTGGAGGAATCATAAAGAATATGAAGGACAAATGATGGAAATTCGCAAATAAAGTATTTAGTGTATGAGTCTCATACTTTACTGAGATATTCTATAATTTTGTAATAAAATACGTTGGTTGTCCCCACCTATGTTTTCGTTCACCACAATACTTCTTACAAACATAGTTTTAAAATAGACTTTCAAAATGATGTTTGACAAATGACAATAGCAAACAATGTTTGCACAATACCACTATAAACGTTTCGGACACTAGTAGAGTATGTATGTGAATATTTATTCTTTTAGACTAGACCCGTTAGAATGCAAATATTAATCTGAATGAAAGTTTGTGATTAACCTTTAATCACTTGATTCTAGATTCGAAACGACTTTGTTGAATTTCAACAAAAAACATCAATCTTTGCGTATATAGCCTCTACCAGGAAAGTCCTACTCACTGCCTTCTCGTAGCACTACTGTTGTTTATGAAATTGAGAGGATGAAAAGCGAATTTCCGGCGCTTTAACCGGGTTGGTGAATACGGTGAGTCCACCTAGGGGAGTTGGAAAACCCTCATTCCAAACCAATGGTGCACATGGGCTCCAGTATCCTGAGGAAACAAATGGCGTATGAACCTATTATTATTAATGGCTTTATTCAATATTATAATCTGGTACAATATAGAATTCTCAGCACGACTTATTTCAACAAGTTTTTTACCAAAAAAAAGAAACCCCAAAAAACAAACAACAGAAATAAAATAAAAAAAGGTTTAGGAAAATCTGAGTTTATACAAATTATCGAATATGAGATATGCTTAAGAAGACAGGTTATTTACTAGGTCAACTCTAACAGCCTGTTCGTCACAAAGTAAATTTGCGAGGTAAGGTATTACAGAACTTTTATAGATTTGCTTGCGTGCATGGATTTTAATGTATTTACGTCTCGTTCTACCAGAAGATATACAAGGAGAAAGATATGAATGAAGCGGATGGTTAGTATCTGATAAGATAACACCTGCCAAGAGTTTGCAAGATTTAAGATGTCTATCCACAAGCATATTAACAATGACTTCAAAAGATTCACCACATACCTTGCAAACTGCCTTCAGCACTCTACGCAAAATAGCAGTCTTTTCTCAAAAGCCCAGGAAAGAATAATGGAGAACAATATAAAATAATAGTTAATATGCAGGAATTTACAAATTGTAAGAGTAAATGGCGAGTAATCCAAAAAGCATGCAGCCTCTTTATGTAGTATGTCAAACGGTAAACTTTTTTCGATAACAGTAAAACATGAGAAGACCAAGAAAGATCAGAGGAAAAAGTAACACCAAGATATTTGACCTTCGACACTGTGTTCAACCTATTGTTGGCCACAGGCTACCATGGGACTGCATCTCCTTACGATGCTCCACTGCCTTGTGGATCAGACCTTTAGGTCGAAGGCTCGGGGTGTGGCCTTCTAAGAAAACCACCTGCTTCAGTTTGGGCACCTGGACATATCACAGCCCTCACACAAACCAAATGAGATTTGTGCGGCGCATATGTATTCGGTGCCCCTTTGTACCCATATTTATGTGTTCAAATAAATAATAAAAGCGAATAGCTAAGTTTATGTTAAAATAAATGCTTGATACATTCTTAATTTCAATACAGAAGACAAAATTAACAGACACAAAATAGATAGCAATAATCATAGTGATAATAAAAATTCAATCATAAGAGTAGAGGGAGGTTGTATGCATTCAAGAAACGACAGAAATATGGTGAAGTCTGTTATAGTAAAACTACTGATAGAAGTAAAGCATAGGGATAAGTCAGTTAGGATAGAGAACGAGACTTACAGGTTTTTGCACGAACTTTAAATATCACATATAACGGAACGGTAGGAATACCTTTCTATATTGATTAGAACGTTACAGTTGATCGACTCTGTTTCAGCAGATTACTTATAAAAGGTAGATCGATATTACCTCTGAGTCCTCACCCCCAAGCCCGTTTACTTTGAAAACTATCTAGCAGCCGAACATTTTGCAAACGAACTAATCTGGTATCATCTTTTGGGGTTTTGCGAGAAATTTATTTATTTATAGGGCTACAGAGCATTTATGCATTATAGCTAATGTCGGATTGTGATGAAAGCCTTAACTCTAAACACCTCATTTTTATATTAAAAATCTATTTCGGTCATTTTAACGTTTTGAGGAGACGGTTAATCTATATAAATAAAAACAAATTCACAGCCAGAGTAACCCGCAGAAGACCTTAATAGATTTGTCAGTCATTTAAAACCTATCTACATTCTGAAATATTACCGTATTCTGTTCCATAAACAATCCGTTTAAATATGCTGTTTTCTGATAGAATGAGTACCAGCTAAAAATTTGTCATAGTTTTTTAAGCTTGTCCGCATACTATTGCCAATTACTCCCCCTTTTGTTTTCTTGGCAGTGTTTATACAGTCCTTTGTAGTAGGTGAAGTGGTTAGAGTAAAGATAACATTCTAATCAAATTAAAGCAGCAACATCTGGTAAACAATAATGAAGATGCAGACAATGATGATATTAATTTTTTTCAACTATTGCTGTATTTTTAAAAATGCAGTCCCAATTTACAATAGGTTAAATGATCAACAATGTGATAATTTTATTTACTTATTTATTCAAAGACATTGGTACAAGGAGGCACCGAATACATATGCTTCACACTTCATCCTTCGATTTGTTTGAGGGCTTGGATAATGCCCGGGCGCGCAAACCGAAGCGGGTAAACACTGTGATACATAATGTTAAAGCCATAGGAATAAGGGGAAAAATAAAGCAGTGCGATTCATTGATTACAAGGTACTTAGAAAAATGGAATAGATTTCTGAAAAAAAATAGACAAGAAATTTCACGTTTGGTACATAAGATTCCTTGTTCTATTCGGTATGTTTGAGTCAGGTTCTCCTGGGTATTTCTGTACTTGAATCTCGAACGGAAGACAAAGAGCCGAAAGTCCCTTTTCAAGGTTAGTTTAGGTACAGAAAACAAGGTTTGTGCTATCCGAAATCCTGATATTCTAGAAACATATTAAAATTAGTAACGCAATTGGCAAGTATTCAATGACGATAAGACAGAATTTGATGTTTGCTTGTAACCTTCTAGGAAGGTTCTATGGAACGCTGATTAGATAACGTATTTTTAGCCACTACTCAGCTTTCACAGATTTTCCTGAGGAATTTTCAAATACCTCCTGGTATTAGTATCTATTATTGATTTTTTATTTGGTTTCCTTAAATAAAGCATTTTTAATAAATTTTAGTGTAATTAATTTACAAAGTACAAGGTTGTTAAGTACTCGGTTTTGAGCTTAATTGTTTGTGAGGGAGCTAAAGATACTACCTAGTTTCCCGATTTGAAGTATACGCAATGGAACCCAAATCTGCTATGGTAATCTGTGGATAAAATGAACTGATACGCTATTCTGGTTTTATATTGACCAATCTATCTATACACGAAGAGAGTTAAGGTAGATTAGATGCTTAGAAACTGTTATTCGTGGTTATTGCGAGTTCTACCTGTGCATTTTACCTTCTCTTTTTAATTACCTAATTATTTTTTGTCCATTATATTATAGTACTAGTGTAGTGAACAGAACACTGGTTGGGGACAATCGAATGTGTTTAAGCAAAAATTACAGACTATCTCAGTAAATTCTGATAACCAAACAATGAATAATTAATTTGCAAATTAACAATCAATTGTTTCAATCTTCACTGTTTCTTCTCTAATTCCATTTTTCGTGCATTTTCTAACCGATTGCGCTTCGTTTCAGTTCTTTCCTCATCGGTCTTCTGCCAAAATACATCCTATGTCTGACCCAAACCATATACTACTTATATGGATATAAGTAGACCACAACACACTCGTCCCCCTTTAAAGGATTCGTTCATGCGGTGGTTCTGCTCGCCATGCCACTATCTTCTTTCACTGCAGTCTGTGCCAAACTCTCCGTCAGAATGTCGAGTCTGCGGCGCGCTGACCTCCATAGCTCCGTCGACCTGCCGGGGCACCAACATCCGCATCCACCCGGCACCTGGGACGTTCAACACTAGTAGTCAAGGTAAACTATTTTTGAACATATGGCTTACAATATCCCTCCGTCAAGTGTGGTCTTTCAAAATATTTACATGAACCTGTGATACTCAATCCATTTATCATCATATTTGTGTTCCCTTAGAATTCTTAACAGTTTATTTTGATTTTTTATGTGGGTTTATTGAATATTTGTTTAGCAGTTACGATTTCCATATTTTCTGTGCATAGCTTGCGTTCCTATGTGTAGGTTGCCAAGGCCGAATCGATACAGTCACTGAAGGTTACTTATTTTGCTGAAACACCTCATTTTTAATCATACATTGATGCATGTAAACGAATTAGATAACTCACAAATTCAGATTTGTAAAACACAATACTTATGTTGTCATTTACCGCGCTACAGACAAATCTTTTGTAGAGAATTTGAATTTTATGTGTGATTCAATTTTTCGGTCTGAATCTTTAAATGAATTTTAACATTCGCTAACAAAGATGAGTAAACTGTATGGATTGCTGACTTGCGTAGAATCATAATATGCATAAAAGTATGTTCAGCTGAAGTTTTACAAAAACTGACTACTCCAAGCCCTAATTTACCTTAAATACTACTTATGTTATTGTGTTATAACTGTTCAAGGTATGAAATAACTTGAATTGTTTGTTGTCAATATAGATTCACATAAGTTAGAGATGTCCTTGTACTACTTACTGGATTCCCCTGATAGCTGTTATTTAAAAATATTCAAATTTTATCGAATTCTGCCATTTAATACTTATTTATAACATTTTCCTCACCAGTTAAAGGAATTAATTTGATGAGTGCCACTTTATCATTATAATATACGTTGTCTGGCTATAACAACTGTCCACATTTATTAGTTAGCTTACCTTGTTTTACAAGGTACATATGAACTACATTGCTAAAAAGGTTTATTTTAAAGCAACGTAACAGTATTTAATCAGTTATAAAGTAGGCATTTTCAGTATAATTCTAAGTAAGATATTACACCGGGACGATTTGCTATCTAATATTCTTATCCGGAAGGGGTTTAAGGGACAACTAGAACAATATAACACATCACTTCACCACAAGGAATAGATTTTTAATTCAGGGCAATTCTACAAAATCTAGTAAATTTGTAACTGTATGACTGATTGCATTGTAGACGTCCATCAAGGTATGTGGTTATTCTACAAAGTCAAACAGACCAACAGTATCAAATTATTTTCTCTTTTGAATACATAATAACTATACCCTCTTTAATGCATTAATTTCACAATACTTATAACATTCCTGAGCAGGTATATAACATATATTTTCCTAAGCAACTACACTGTATAACCCACGTCACTTAGCATAGCATAAACACAAGGAGATACTTCATACAAACAATAACAGAGTTTAAAAATACAAGTCAAGTGATACTTAGTAGGATTAAATGCATAATTAATAATAAACGTATGCATTTCATAAAGTAGACCTGTAAAAAAACAATAAGATAGTAAATAGTGTTTTTCCTCTTACATCAGATAATAACCCACATAAGATAGATGCATGAAACCAAGATGGAACTATTAGAACTTAAAGACAAAAAAGGAATAAAATTTACTTACATTAATATCAAGCTGCTCTAATAATTTTAACCAGTTCTCTGTTTCATTTCGTTTCATGTTTAATACCCATGAAGGATTTGAATTCTTATCATGTTCATCGTAAATAATTGGTATGATGAATGGGTCAACAATTTGGTCATAATGGAAAAGTTTATTGAAATTAGCTAACCAATGACAGAATTCCGATGGAGTAAGGACAGGTAATAAACAATTGGATTGGTCAATACCATCTGATTTAAGTAGATTGGAACGAACTAGAGCCACTGTGAAGACACCCTTGAAAAACAGTATAAAAATATTTTTGTAGAGAAGAAACATATTTGCTGTGCTAACAGGATGAGGTCCTTTTTTATAACTTGACTAACTGACCTTAGTTAGACAACGACTGATAATCAAGAAGCGCTAGACAGTTATTTCATTTTAGCATGGGACTCCTTAGTAGCGAGCTTATACGGCCCAACTGCTAGATGAACCTAGAAGATCCAGGCTAGCTCCGAATCTATTAGACTACTGAGTTAGTACTTAGTGGTTTGCATTTACGGAGGAAAGTTCTGGCTACCATGAAGATCGAATCTCATAATGTATTGAAATAATTAGAAGAAATAGTAAAAAGAACACGAGATAGATATTTCGATCTAGTTCGGAATATTAAACAGGTATGAACCACTAATTTATTCAGGGATTAATAATTAGGACATTTAGCTTCTACTATAGTGAACAAGAACACGAGTGGGGACAATCGAATGCAATTGACACGGAATTACAGAATATCTCACTAAAATCTGACAACCATACACTAAACAGTTAATTTGCAAACTATCAATTCATTATCTTAATCTTGACTGTTCCTTCTGTAAATATCAGTCCATAGTCTCAGATTTCATTGTTCATACATTTTCATACCAAATGCGTTCCGTTCCCGTTCCTTTCCTATCGATCTTCCACTGAAATGCATTCTATGCCTGACCATCGTCGTATACTACTTATGTGGATATAAGTAACCCACACTACACTACTACTACTTACCGTTAAATTGATATTTAATGGTCAGTGGTTCTTCAGTTAGCCTGAGTGATGGAGCGTTTCTGAAACTTTATACCAGTGCATGAAGTTACTGACCGTTGGACTGAACCATGTAGGTAAATTCAGACTACCTGGTTGGGATCCTCACGAATATCGTAATTAAATGCTCCGAATCGGTCACAATGGCATAGAAGGATTTACTGTCTTAAAATGATTATTCTTTCTATTTCACAAATTCATTCTCTCCTCTTGAATCATACTACTTGTGTTTAATGTTTTTTTATACTATAGATACCGTTACCACCTACTACTACTGCACTTGTCTTGATAATCATATTGTGTTGTGCTGATATGGTAACTGTACAGATATGAGTGAAGTTCTACATTGAATAAGGTTTGCTGACTTAACAATGAAAAACATTTGTAAATGATTTATATCCTTAAAACGAGTAATTTACTTTAGGTTGGAACTAAGAAGATGCATTTAGAACATGTTCATTTTCAAGTTAATAAACAACTGTCATGGGAAATAATACATTTAATATAGCCAAACGCCTACTAACCAGGGAAACTGACACCAACATTAATATGATCTACACATTGGATGACTGTCTCTTCCATTGAAGCTCCTTTTCATTTAGTATCATTTCGAATAATTTATTAAATGCAAGTCAGATGGAATTATTTACTACATTATCGGCATATGTATGGACGATATACCAACGATGTACAGGTTAACAATATGTACTAGTATAGATTTTTATTTATAGTGTGGTAGCTAAGGATGTTCTATCTTGTTTCCAATACTTGTTGTTTTTACTGACTCATATATCCTGTAAAGATTCGTGTACTTGGCTATGAGTTGCATTCAGTTAGTGGAGCAAGATTCGATTAGGAGTTAAAATATAGATTGGGAACTTACCACAGTTTTTTTCAATGCAAAAAATGAAATGAGACTCGATGGTTTAAAAACTGAACTTCCAACTACAGAGTAACGAATTTGCAATACATATTTAACTTTTTATAACGTCAGTGTTATTCGAACCATTGTGTAAAACCATGTACTTAATTATAAAGTTGCATGAACCATATGTAATATGGAGGAATTACTAATGTGTTTTAGAGTTGTTCATTATTTATTTGTAATTGGCTCACATTTGGTTGCGATGATGCAGAAGTATCCAATCTTTATCTTCTCTTGTGGCTTTGGTTTTAAAATTATCCAGTACTTTTTATTCTGCGAATTTATTCCTTTTTCTAGAATCATACTGTCTATACCTAATGTCTTCTACTACCACTGATACTGTCACTACTTCTACGACTTAAGCATCCCGCTGAGCTGTTTGTGTTGTGGCATCTTGAACCGACGCAAATATGATTTGAGCTGAGGGAATAAAAAAAAGACAAAATTATACATCTGAAAATGTGAAAACTCACACCATGATGATCGGCGTGCATATGAGTAACAAGAATTAATCGAAGTTTGCGCAAAATATCATTTCCTTTTTCGACACCATGTAGTGCATATAGTTGACTTAAGGAACCTTCTCCACAGTCCAACATTATATAGTTATCTGGACTGAAACGTCATGAAGAAAATTTGTTGAGAAATAGTGCAACAGGTAACAAACAAAAAATCCATTCACGAATGTGTAATATGTAATATGAAATAAAGAGACTATTTACGAATAATTACATTGAAACAAATGAAAAACAAAGATGCTTGCGTATAAGCTTAAAATTATGACAGGACATATCGTTTAATTTTAATAAACAAAGAACAAAGTGTAAAAGCTGTTAGATTAACCAATTCTAATGGTTTTCCTAATTGAAAATCTGTTAATTTTTGGGTTTTCCAGGTTGGAATGAATGATGTTTGGACATATGGCCAAGTATATGATTTCTAACTACTTGACCGTACATTTAAATTATCCTCTAATAAAACAGAGAAATCAGTGGCAATGGATTCCTTCCTGGACAGTGACATGTTAGTTAAGACATGCCTTTCAACTGCTGTCATCGACGGTTTTAACTTGTAAACCCACCTATTTGGGTTTGGAAAGCCGGGCAGTAAAACTAGCTTTTACACAAAATTGTGCTTGACGGATGAGTAATTTATCTTAATACGTAATGACTCCTTTAAATATAGAAGAATGGAGAATAACTCAATAAATAAATGTTCCAACCGGAAGTAAATATTTAAAGCCAAGATCACATTCTATGTGAACTTTCATATAGATAAGAAGCCATAGTATTATGATAGTTAGGTATCGAGTTTACAGGAAAACATCAAAGAGGAAATTAGGTCTCCAAAATTTTTAGTGATTAAAATTTAAAATAACTTTAACATCAAACTGCCGATCAAAACACTAAATTCGTTTAGAACATGAATACATCACTTTGAAGAAACTGTATATTTATTTTCAACTAATTAAATCATAGAGATGATGATATCAGTTTCCAGGGACAATTAATAACTTTGTTCATAGCAATTAGTGATAGAGTCACCGGTTTAAGTAGAGAATTTAATTTGTAAACTGTCATTCATCAAAAATAATTTCACAAATCTATGAAGATATATTCTACGTTATTTATAGTTGACTGTAGTCAAAAAAATCCTTGAAAAGAAAATCTTCAAAACGAACGTCAAGACAGTTCTAGTGCACGGAGCTGAAACATCGAGAACTACCACAACCATCATCAAAAAATTAAAACTATTTATAAATAATTGTCTACACAAAATAATCTATATTCGTTGGCCGCATACCATCAGCAACAGTCTACAGTGGAAGGGAACAAAACAGGTTCCAGCTGAAGAGAAAATCAGGAAAAGACAATGGAAGTGGATAGGACATACATTGAGAAAATCATCAAGCTCCATCACGAGGCAAGCGCTAACTTGGAATCCTGAGGAGGAAAGGAAAAGAGAAAGATCAAAGAGCACATTGCGTCGACTGGAAGCTAACATTTAAGGAATGAATCGAAGTTAGAAATGACTGGAAAGAATTATCCAAGACAGATTGGCCTATGCTCTTCCACGAGGGGGTAACAAGCGTAAGTAGTCGAAAATCAAGATGTTGCAATTCGAAAAGTTTATCAATGATAGTTGACGTTTCTAAGACAAAAAAAACATGTCGAACTATTTACATCTATCTTATTTATTAAGACAGATACAACCATATAGATAGGTGAAACATTGAGTTGCAGTCTGAAACTCCTATCTCACAATATGCATTAATAAAAAGTTGATTACATTATACAAATGAAAATCAATTAATATTTGAAACAACAACAAAAAAGAGGTTAGAACTAACTCTAGCCGCATAATAATACAACTGATATTACGATATTTATTAGGAGAAGAAGATGCAGTGCCAAGAAATGTGATTTCAGGATACGCCTCTGATGCTAATCTATGAGCTAAATAATATGCATTAAAAAAATTCCATATTAACACTTGTATATGGTGTAAATTAATATTGTTAGAAGTTATCAAAGCAAGTTCTTTTTAGTCATTCAAAATCTGAAGTAGATGCTGATACGGATATATTCATGACAGAATTAATAAGTTTAGTTTTCCTAGTGTTTATGAGAATTAATTTCCCAATTATGAAATCTATAAGAATATATTAAAAGAGTATCTAAAAATGGAAATTTAACCACGGAATATACAGACTGATTTTAGTTAGACAGAAGCACTAGACAGTTGTTTCGCCTCATGTGGGACTCCTCAGTTGTACAAACCCATGACTATACTAGGAATCGAATCCAATATATTTTGATCTCACAAAAATTGCCTAAACTTTAGACCACTAGGTGTTAACCCAGTGTTATTGAGCGATCATCTTTCGATACGCGGCTAGATTTCAAGTGGAGTCGCGAGTGTGCACGACTGTCATTCATTTGAACACAAATATTGGTACAAGGGGGTACCAGATATATATGCGCCACACCATTTCATTTTATTTGTGTGAGGGCTATGATACTGCCTGGGTGCGCAAACCGAAGCAGGTTGTGTTTCTTAGGGGGCCACACCCCGAGCCTTTGACCTGAAGTTCTGATCCACAAGGCAGTGGTGCATCGTAAGGAGATGCAGTCCCATGATAGCCGGTGACCAACAATTGGTTCATACTCCATTTGTCTCTTCAGGGTACCGAAGCCCATGTGCACCATTGGTTTGGAACTAGGGTTTTCCGAATCCCCTATGTAGATCCTCCGTATCCACCAACCTGGTTAAAGCTCCGGACCTTCGCTTTGAGTCCTCTCAATTTCGTAAACAACAGTAGTGCCACGAGAAGGAAGTGAGTAGGACTTCCCTGGCAGAGGCTATATACGCGTGACCGTGTGAGAGCGTTTCGAGAGAGAGAGAGAGGGGGGGCGGGTCCTCCCCACTCTCGGACGTACCAGGGCATTCGGGGGTCTGATATTTCCTGGTTTTCAATAAATATATAATATCAGTATGTGATATAAACTATGAAATTTAACAATCTCCACAAGCCACTTGTGGTAATAACAAACAATATAAGTTGAATAGTTTTTTTTGGCTTTTTGAAAATTAAAAGTAATGGTTTTCTTATTCAATGATAAAATTGTTTTTATGCTCTAATTGTTCTGTAACGCATACTCGAGTTTGCTTTTATAAATAATCTACTTATTTCTAATCTAGTACAAATTTTATGAATAAACTCGGACTTACTTTGAAGGAAAGGCAAATGTTGCCTATTCCAAATGATATGGGATTTAAACAAAACGTGAATTGACGCAAATTTAATCTCTCCTACTAAAAAACACTTCATTTAATATTACCAGTGGTACTAAATTGATCGTCTGAAATTGTTAAAATGCCAGGGTTTTGTTTCTGTACATTTATCAACTGCAACATGCTGACAATCGTACAACAAACAAATAAATAAACTTGATATAGAATAAATGAAATATGGCTAGCAATGGAATCCAGGACGTACATTTCATCCTATTCGAGACTCGTTAGCTGGATATTCATGTTCACTTTTAGAACTAGAACCCAGTACCGTTTGGGATAATCTAAACCACTTTAAATTGAGATAAATAAACTGTTTATGATCACAATAGTCAGAGATAACTAAAAGAAAATGATTAAAATCTTTACCAGTCTCTAAAACTCGTACTTATCGTAACCTTATTATGGTCAATTATATTCTCTTGTTAATTCTCTTTTTTTTCCTTTCATGAGTCGATCAATTCTAATGCTTGATTTAGAATTGATATCAGTGTAAAATTAACATTAGATGGAACATAAATCAACCTTCACCCATTAAACATGCAATGTTTCAATAAAAAGCATTTGCAGAACATTATCTAATCAGAAAATTCACCTGGTGGTTTGTTGGATTCAATGGATTCTCTCATTTTGACAAATTGTTCTTCTGCTTCTTGTAAACTCATATAAATTGGATCAAAAATTTGTGACACAAATTCATCACCATTCAATTGTGGATAAGTAGGTCTAAATTATGAAGGAAATGAAAACTTACAAAGGTTGAATATAAATCCTACTATATTATTATTTCGAATAATAAATAATTCATGCCAGGATATGATGTTAATTGCGACAGAAATCAGGAAAAAAAATATTATTCAGGTTACATGAGGAAATAAAATGTTGAATCCTAAATTACTGTTTTAATCGTACAAAATGTACAATGATAAAAGCGATTAAAACAGCAATTCATAATCAGTGTAGCAAATGAAACAAACTAACATTGACCCAAATTGCCAAAACACATTAGCATAGCGAAAAATTAACGAGATCGAAAGATAGAGCCCGAACTAAAGCAGTATTGTTGATAGTAAAAACTTGACATTTGATGAAGAAGAATTGAAATGGAACAACTCTTTATATACAGTAACCGGAAATTACGGTGACAGAAAAATTTGCAAATTAAAAGTAGTGACAATCAAAAAGAAAATAGAAAAGATTGTGTGGAAATACAAGTTTCAAAGATTTTACTTGTGGTTATCATTACAAAAAAGAACTAACACTTATCGACGTAACCAGATAATTGGGATTTTCCTTGCAGTTACCTATGGTCTTCAACCACTGAAAACGATTATGGAAATGACTTCGGATAATGTGTCTTTTGCGTCTGTTGGCATGACTCAGTTCAGTAAACAGTGATTTCGTGAACTGGTGTCACACCTCAATCTGTATGCCTAGTATTTTTCCAAACTACTCTTACTTCATGCAACATTCCATATCGAGGGTAATTCGTAGCTGCAAATATGCAACATGTATCACAGCCGCCTCAATTAATCGAAATTCACGACTTTATTAAACGATTTGTCATACTTGCCTAGTAGCTCTACGTTTGATCTCAGTATTAATCACTCGGCTGTCTCATCATACATGAGCAATGCTCCGAGGACACTTGTGATCAAATAATTGTAGCCTATGTTTATCTTCTACATTCAAAGGCCTTGTTCCACGGCCGTACAGTAACTTGAAGGGGACTGCTAGGCAGTATACTTACTCCTTGGTTGTTAGATGGATACTTCGCCTACATTACAGGTGATTTGAGTTCGCAAAAATCCAATGAGCTTTATAAATCTATGCAAGAATATCTTTATAGACTAACCATGTAGGAGTGAGACTTTTAGGATGATAGTTGTCAGTGTGCTCAACTAATTCACTTCATATAATCAGAGTAGGTGTTGATACAGAGCACTCCTGAAGTTAAATTTTGAACTTATAGGGAGAAAAACTTATAGCAAAATTTCTCGGACTTTCTGTTGGGGATGCTAGATCCTTAGAAATCACTTGGTAAACGTCTCATTTTGTAATTTTATTTCGGAAATTTAAATTTCTCTTTTTCGCGCCAACAACGCCCACTTTTACCTTTAGTTTGTATTTCCCACTTGGAAGGGTCTTAAATGTCATCAGTTCGTTTCCTTTTTAGCACGTTATTTTGTGACGTTTTCCAAGGACATTTTTGTATTATATATATACGCATGAGTTATGCACTTGTTCGTTCGCTTTTCCAACTGCCTGTAGAATATACATATCCCTCGGCTGAATCTGGTCTTTTTCCTTTAGTAAGTAGGGCTGGAGTGCAATGGAATAGCTTAGCTTGTCCTGTTGTTGTGTTGCTGACATTCGTTCCTTTCGCCAGTTTAGGTGATATCGTAATCTCTTCAAACGTAGTACTTTTGCTCAAGGTATTCAGAAAACTCAACACAACCAGAATCTCTACATAAATAGAGGTATTTGAGTACTTATTACTAAAAATTCGGATTGGGTTAATATATTAAAATTTTCGTTGTTTCTTTTAAACTTCGAAAACTCTGAAAGACAGTAGTAAATCTTACTTGTTAAACCCTGTCCATGGTCTTAAGGAAAACTGTAAATAAGGTTCAGCAGTTACAACGGAAGAGAAAGGATCAACATTCTTCGATATTGTTTCGTTCCGTTTCTGATTAGATGATAAAGTAAAAAAATTTAAAATGTGTAGTTGAGAGGAATATAAACAAATTAATCAAGATGACCTAATAACGTTGGAAGTAATCAAATGCTTACTAAGAATATGTTGTAACATTTTTAAAGTTGTAACAGTTAACAGTGATATAAATATGCTTATTATTGAGTGCATGTCTTTTAACCTGTTGTAATCAGTGTGGAGTTTGGAGCAGATGTGCATTTACTAAAGTCTCCGAAGCGCATCAGCACGACGAGATGACATTAACATGATGAATAGTAAAGGAGTCGAAACAAGTGTAGTAACGACGGTAAGAAAGATTGAAAATTGAGAATATGATTCAAAATGACAATGAGAAGCTAATAAAGAATACTGGAACATACGATCCAGAGAAAAATCAAAAATAGAAACATCTGTACCTTTAAGGCTGATATTGAATCACATGACTTGACGTCTCCAACCATCGATTACAAAAATGATCCTAATCAGATAGACTGGATCTAAAAACATGGTTCAGTCCGACAATTAGTGACTTTATGGAGTGAAATTACGTTTACCAATCTACTCTTACTTCATGCAACATTCCATATCGAGGGTAATTCGTAGCTGCAAATATGCAACATGTATCACAGCCGCCTCAATTAATCGAAATTCACGACTTTATTAAACGATTTGTCATACTTGCCTAGTAGCTCTACGTTTGATCTCAGTATTAATCACTCGGCTGTCTCATCATACATGAGCAATGCTCCGAGGACACTTGTGATCAAATAATTGTAGCCTATGTTTATCTTCTACATTCAAAGGCCTTGCTCCAAAGATAGAATGATGCAAAGTGGACTGGGGTTCAAAATTCTGGTCCTTTTTAGTAGGAGAGTGTTTACCGCAAAAGTACAACTGAAGATAGAAATATCATAAAGGCAAGAAAATCTATGATTGAAGAGGTTCACTTGTAACTCTTAGCACGAATAGAGTCCATGTCAAACAAAGAATGTACAATGAACAAAAGTTTAACAAGAAATTCGGATTGATAGACACAAACAAAATCGCCAGAATAAAGCCTGAAATCTCGAGATTTTCTAGTAACTCCATGACAATACCTTCCATAATTCTCAAGCATACAAGGTCCATCGACTACAAAATATTTAGTTCCTCCATGTAGCCTACAATCAGGTTTTAGTCACTTTAGGTCAAGAGAAAAATTGACCCGGTAAAAATATGAATACAAGCGAATGTAGTAGAGCGAAAAATCATTGATCAAGTGAGAAGCGTTATATGGTTTTACATATACAAAAGTAAGAAATGTAGATTTACGAATAAATTGTATGGTCTACTTACAGAAACAGTATCGGAATCTGCCATATCGAAAAGCAGTGGGTAGACCTTTGAGTCGAAAAACCGATTCAGGATGAATGTTTGAGAATACATACCAACACGATCGGTTACATAACCAGTACCATCAAGAACCAAGTGTTTCAGTGTTGTACTTGGATCCTCTGTATCAGATTTCCGCAATGCACACTCTTCCAACCTAAATATATTAAAAAGAATAAAAATCCTTAAGATCAATGGCCAATTTTTTCGGAACAAACAAAAGCGTTTGGACACTACTTACAGTTAGACGAAATATACGCCCAAAGAACATATATAACAGCTTTGAAAATAGGGCTAATTATCATAGCAGGAACACATATACAGCAAAATAAGAGTGCTAGTTAAGTTCCCGTTACATCTTTTACAGGATTTATGAACTGTCATACCTTTTCTCTTAGTTAGCATATCCCGACGACTAAGTGATGATAAGAAGAATCAGAATCAGCAATAACCTTAAGCTAAAGTATGCAAAGGAGAAAGTAGACGGTAATAACCAGAATAAAGATTAGGAGTTCTTAAAGCAAATAGAATTATATCGACGTATAATATTAATCGCCTACATGGTACACATATTACTAACATTTGACTTGATAATTTCGAATAAATTGAGCATTGGGTAGGTTGTTTTAAATAAATAATATATTTGTAATATCCCAATGAGTAGAAAACATAGATTTTCTACTCATTGGGATATTACAAATAAATTATTTATTTATTACACTGTAATTGTGCAAATTTTCATTCGCGTTGCCCACGAAAGGTTTACTTTACAATGCGCCTACAATTTTCATAGAATTTGTTATCAAAACTAGTGAGTGAGAGTTTTGACTTACTTCTGTACAAATTTCTGATACTGGTTTGAATAGAACATGCCTGGTGGTGTAAAATGAACAACTAAGGATACACCAGAGGTCAGATTTTCATTGGACTCTTCAGCTTGAATAGAATTGAAAAACTCTTCATTGGATATAAATGCAGGAATGTAATCAGAATTCGGACAGTCGATGAAAAGCATATTTTTTGATGGTGGTGATGGCGCAGTTACTTCATCCGGAGATATCTAGATATGAAATAAAAAAGACTAAAATATATAGTATTAAAAATAAATACAGTGAGAATCCGATTGATAAACATATATTTATCTTGCCATTATTATAATAGCCATTTGTATAGCCCCAAAATGCCCTGGTACGTCCGAGTGGGGAGGAACCGCCCTCTCGAAATACTCTCACACAACCATGCGTATACAGCTTCTGCCCGGGAAGTCCTACTCACTTCCTTCTCGTGGCACTACTGTTGTTTACGAAATTGAGAGGACTCAAAGCGAAGGTCCGGAGCTTTAACCAGGTTGGTGGATACGGAGGATCCACATAAGGGATTTGAAAAACCCTAGTTCCAAACCAATGGTGCACATGGGCTTCGGTACCCTGAAGAGACAAATGGAGTATGAACCAATTGTTGGTCACCGGCTATCATGGGACTGCATCTCCTTACGATGCACCACTGCCTTGTGGATCAGAACTTCAGGTCAAAGGCTCCGGGTGTGGCCCCCTAAGAAACACAACCTGCTTCGGTTTGGGCACCCAGGCAGTATCATAGCCCTCACACAAATTAAATGAGATTTGTGCGGCGGATATGTATTCGGTGCCCCTTTGTACCAATATTTGTGTTCAAATAAATAAATGGTCACTTAAATTAATAAAAGATTTCTATGAAAAAACTAAAATGTCTGTGTGAATAGACAATTTTTATCATCGCAAACACTGACTAATACCCATGGACATTTGAAATAATTAGTATACGACTTTTACAACTAATACTTGCTTTGGCCCTAATTTCCTGATACGGTCGAGAGTGGGGAGAGTCAGCCTTCCCTCTCGAAATGCTTTTACATGGCCACACGCATACAGCCACTGTCGGAGAAGTCCTACTCACTGCCTTCTCGTGTGGGGGTGTTGTTTACGGAATTGGGAGGACAAAAAGTGGATGCCCGACGCTTAAACTTGGTTAGTGGGTTCTCATGATCCACGTAAGAAAGTTGGAATATGTTGGTTCCAAACCAATGGTCACATGAACTCCGGGATCCTGAGGGAACAAATGGCGTATGGCGTATGTGACTGCATCGCCTTGTGGATCAGACCTCTAGGTCAAAGGCTCGGGAAGTGACCCCCTAAGAAAGTCATCTACTTCGGTTTGGGCGCCCTAACACAAATCGGATCATGAAGTGTGGCGCATAAACATTTGATGCTTTTTGTGACAATGTTTGCATGTTTAAATAAATATATAAATAATACTTCCAGTAGTTATTTCAATTCACTAGATATTATAAATGATAGGAATAATTATCGGACAGTTCAATTATTTCAGTTGATGTTAATTGACAGCTCTAAATACTTTATATTTTATTAGAAAATTTGTTGACTGCACATCAATACTTGTTTATTTGATAGCTTTACAGTTTGTTAGACTATTGGTGTTATTTGTGGATGTAATGTATTTTAACAGAATCTGTAATGAAAGATTAAAAATTGGAGGGTTCATTGCTGGGTATTACAAGTGGTGTAAAATAAAAATTAATTAGAGGTGGGCAACCCACTGATTTTTACAACAACTTTTGATTTATATATTTTTGTAACGAACCCACCAGAGTTCGATATATTTGGCTTTGAGCCACGTTATTTGTGAGGAGTGATGATACAAACCAATGACCAAAACCGAAGTACATGGAGTAGGGTTCGAAGATGGGACTTATCAGTGCAGTGATTTGACTATTAATCTACCGCTATATCTATATGTCTGGTTAACAGATAAATACTTATCAGACAATTTGCTAAATCGACAAGCTACGAGTCTGATTTATGCTTAGAGTAAGTTTAATTATAAATCACAAGAGTCTGAAAAAATTTACTCACTATACGTCCATCACTTAAAATTAAATTTTCTCCATTTATAACAGTTTGTATTTCCCCGGATTTCAAAACAGATCTGTAAAATGAAAAGTTGGAAACAATTAAAAATTAAAAATATGAACAAACTGAATATCTCTCGCAAAAAAATGAGCAGCGAAAGGTAAATTAATTGAGGGGAAACTTTAGTATACTTAAGCCAATCCGATGAGTACACATCAAAGAAGTATAAAATAATAAACCATTGTTTAAGCCACTGTACATAAAGCAACAAAAGTAAGCGATTTGGTGGTGAACACAGATTCTCATCCTTGTAAAGTGTTCAATTTTAGGTTCCCATAATGATTATGAATCAGTTAGTTTAGAATGTCTATCTTGTTGCTATTATTTTCCAAACTATAAAATCTAGATGACTTGTCATTTATGTGTTAGAAGTTACTTTAAATGTAAAGAATTTGATTTCGATAAATGCTCAAAGTATTTGCTATTCTCCTTAATATTATTAAGAATTCGGTTTATTTTAAGAATGAATACCGTTCATCAAGCAATGATTAACTAAGAAAGCGGTACCATATTCGTACCGCAACAAAAAGAATTATGTGACTAGTTTGTAAATGCTAATTGTATTTTAAGATTTTGCACAGAAATTTTATTGTTGGTAAGAATGATTAAAAAATGTCAGTTGTGAGAATTAATATCATAGAAAGTAAAGAAATTTGATTTAAAAATCAAGAATGATCTTCGATAATCACCAATTCTTATTTAATGCTACCGTGTAGCACGATATATAAAAAAGATTACAGTAAGCGGCTTTTCAAGTGATCCGCAGAAAAAGATATCAGGTTATTGAAACGTATGATGATTTCGACAGGTTTTACTTATGAAATCCTAGATTAAGTAAAAGAAACGATCTGCTTTTTGATATGGAATTGAAGGATAAAGGATACTTTTGTTTGGTTCGTATATACTGGAACATCACAACTCTTTAAATCAGTTTCCATAAATTGGGTAATTCAACTTTTCGGAACAATATCTTGAATTCAAAGACAGCTGCGATTTTACTGCAGTTTCTTTGTATTCCATACAATTGGTAAAATTTACTTATAAAATAATTCTAGGAAATATCTTACATTATCATCAGCCCATAGCAAAAGTATGAGGGTTACTGATGAAAGTCATCACTTGTCATAACATTTATTTTGCACAATAATTTACAGTTAAATTTACAGTATAAATATTTATCTCTATTTACTCAGAATAAACTATCTCAAACTCTGAGATTAAGGTGTAAGATATTTTCCTCTGCAACTAGACTATCAAAGGAAAATTACTACAGTTCTGATAAGCATGAAGATTGAGTAGTAAGATTTTATTGAATTTCAACACAGCTTAATTATGAGTAACCAGCAGAAAGTTGACCTGTCGATTTTTTCGCATAATTTTGTCATACAGTGACGGGTTTCAAAAAAACTTTAAATGTAATTTTTAAAAATTCCTATTGGTAGTCATTTCACAATGTGTTGATTATAATTTGGCATCCCATAAACCGTATGAACTGAAGGTTTGTTTGTTATTAATAATGTAAATTTTATACCAATTACGAGTTAGTGTGCTTGTTTTTAAGTTACACTTTGTGTGAAGTCCAGTGATGCAAACCCGCTGTTTGAACCTCAGTAGTTAGAGCGGGATCACAAACTGCTTGACCAAATAATGATACAACTCATTTGTCCATTAAGAACTCGTGTACCCAGGTTTGAGGCACAAGTGTGAGGGATAGTGATACTACCTACCCGCCCAGAGCAAAGTAGGTGGAGGGAGACTCAAACCTGCAACTTAATGGTTGAGAGCAGAGCTCTAAAAGAGTGGGATTAGGAAGACGCGGTAGAATTATATTTAAAAGGCTACTAACGACTTACGCTGGTATACATGCTTCATTGAATTTTGACATAATCAACTTACGACGTGTACGAAATGGCTAATGAACAGCAATAAAACAGAGAAATTAAAATGTAATTACTGTAATTGAATATGAATTGAAATTTGTCATGAAACATGACATTGAAATGGTTGTGAGTGATAATAGTAGAATTTTACTTAATTTGATCATTTCAAAGATTAGACTCATGTGAAAGTAGTTCTTTTTTACTACAGAAGGATATCGACTAGATTTTCGCTTATAAACAAATTGAGATTTTACAGATGCGAGTCAAACAATGCAGGGAAAGTTTGACAGACAGATTTGTCAGTAGTTTCGATATTCCATCACATTATTATTATTTATTTAAACACATAAATATTGGTACAAAGGGGCACCGAATACATATGCGCCACACAAATCTCATTTGATTTGTGTGAGGGCTGTGATACTGCCCAGGTGCCCAGACTGAAACAGGTGGTTTTCTTAGGGGGCCACACCCGGAGCCTTTGACCTAAAGGTCTAGTCCGCAAGGCAGTGGTGCATCGTAAGGAGATGCAGTCCCATGATAGCCGGTGACCAACAGTTGGTTCATAGGCCATTCGTTCCTTCAGGATACTGGAGTCCATGTGCACCATTGGTTTGGAATCACGGTTTTCCAACTCCCCTAGGTGGACTCACCGTATTCACCAACCCGGTTAAAGCGGCGGATATTCGCTTTTCGTCCTCTCACTTTTGTGAACAACACCCCCGCCACAAGAAGGTAGTGAGTAGGACTTCCCTGGCAGAGGCTATATATTCGCGTGGCCATATGAGAGCATTTCGAGAGGGAGAGCAGACTCTCCCGACTCTCGGCCGTACAAGGGCAATGTATATTAGATTGAATTAACATACAACAACATCCAGTTTTTGGTAAGTTAAACGGAAAAATGTTTTCCTTTGACCCGTTTCCAGTCAATCAGCACTGGCGGACAACTGAAGATTATGGAACCTCGTGTATAGATATACTGTTCTCCTTACAGTGATTCCCGTCCAACTTGATTTATTTGGAATATAATTACGTACCTGTCCAAGCCGTGTTCATATTTTGGGAACTAGTTGAGTGAAGTGATGTCCGAGGAATACTAAGCAATTAGGGTACCTAGGTCTTATGTTGTGGCTGTGGGTTGTGGGTTGTATAACAACAGACTTAACACTTCGATCTCAAAGTATTTAAAAGTTGTAAACTTTACCAAACAAAAAGATCAAGTACCTTTGAAAGTTTTTATACAACAAGAGTGAATTAAAACACTAGATCTTTATGGGTTTTAATATAACCTATATTAAAATGATGGTGAACTATAAATCGCGGATGAGACAAAAGTGTGGATATCTATTTCTTAATTTGACTAACCTGGAAGTAGTACATAAAAACACTAGATTCTGACACATGATCCAGATTTCCTTTTCGTCGTTTGTAGACTACAAGATAAAATATCAAAGAAAACATTAGTCGCGATGTACACAACAACATAGTGCTCGAATCTGTCTTATGATTTTAGATACAGAAATGTTTTCGACAAGAAGAATAACGAGGATTGAAGTTAACAAGGAAAACAGATTAAGAAAGGTAAGATGCCCAAAGATTAGGCTTAGCAGTCAGGTTTTAAGTGACGAGAGAATGAGTGACCTACCAGCTAATTTCTTCCAATAGCCTATAACATTTTACCATGTTTATTTTTGTTATGTCGTGATAAGAATAGTGAATGGTAACTTTGGGATCCATTTATGAACCAATACTATGCATATATTTTTGTCGTATAATTGCTAAATAACTAAACTGTTCATATTCATGTCCCCCTTATTATGAGCTTTATTTTGCCTTATGAGCTATTGTCATATGATATACCGTTCTTGAATTATGCCCTGTCTATCACTTACTATTTCCCTTATTCATAGCCACATTTGGCTGAATATTGTAAAAATGTTATTTTCTATTTTATGGTACGATGTGGTCTGTTTGTTTGGTATATAAACCCAATATGTTTGACATATAATGATAAATACCGCAGAGGTTGAGATTGGTGTTTTGAACTTAACTGGATGGGCTAGACAGAAAGCAGGACCGATAGGTACTCTAGACTGCTCGTACGGGTTTCGTGTGTCATTGGTCCGATCGGTAATTCGCTGCTCTCTAATTGGCGGTATTATCACGTTATGCATTAACAGGGCGTCCATTCGGCCACAAGTTATAACAATTTTGTGTTCATATTTTGTAGATAAGTGTTATTTTATTACATGAAAAACTATTCGTCTGACTAGTGGTCTTGTCTTTGAGTCCTAACCATTAAGGAGTATGAGCTAACTATACAGTGTCGTGAGAAGCCATCAATCAGTCACACTATATAATTACGTTCATCTATCAATTAGCATTCTGTCCATCAATTCTAACGGTGGAAATTCCATCTAACCAAATCACAGAAAACCTCCTCCATAACAAAGAATCCCCCAAATACCCTGCCTTCTATCGCAAATCATGTTTTTGAATATTTTAACTTCGATCCCTAGAGACAACTTTCATATTAGTACATTGACTTTCATGAGTTTTCTATAGATGAAAGAGTATGTGGGGGCAAAGATGGGTAGGCTGTTTAAATAAGTCCTCTAAATAAAGCCCCTTCAATGAAACACCAACATCAGTTTATGATAAATGTAGTTGCAGAAGATAGTACATTTAGCTTCAAGCCGTTTATTGTTAACTGTATATTACTATTTGGATAAATTCAACTGATGAAAATAGTCGAGCCCGATTATTTAAAACTGATTGATAAACACAAGGGCATAAAAACAAGGCTAAATAATGATAATAATAGTGATGATATAATGGTATGTAATCTAAGGTAAGAATTGAGCGCAATCATTGAAATGCATTTGATAGAGGGAAATTTAATGCCTTGAGTCAGTCACAAAATAGAACCTGGTACGTATGTACAACAGTTCAAGTTTCCATACTCCGTTAGCACAGAGATAAAGTTTTGAGGCCAAATCCATGGATAGTAGAGGTAGCAACAGTATTCGTGGCAATTGGAAGGATTAGGGATCAAAGATACGATTCGCGAAAACTTAAATTAGTGAAATAAAAAAAAGAAAAAAGTTATGAGGAACTTAGAACTTAAGGGGAGAAAAAGAACGAATGCACCTGAGTCATTGCAAACGATGTCTTCGAAGACATTGCTGGCATATGGCATGGTAGAACCTAAACGAACATGTATTTCAGACAATAAGCTGAGTCGGGGATATTGGTTACCAAGTTTTAATGTAACAACTAAACGTTGGGAAAATGTTCAACAAGTAAAAACTTGCCTGGTTCTTCATTTACGTTTGTTGGCTTGAATATTTGGAAAGATTGTACGCGAAATGCATTATCAGTGTAACACTTCTCATGAATTTCACTCATGACTGAAACGAAGAGAAAACACCAAACTAAGTCAATTTTAAAAGGTACGCAAAGAACTGGTTAAAATGGAGCTAGTCGATTAATAGAAAAGAGAGCTTTTAATCATGAAAGAGAGCTATTTGATTCAAGAGCATGAAAAACTTACCGATATCGGTTGTTTTACAATTAGTAAACGGACGAGTCAATTGCATCAGGCGTTCCTAAGGGCATAAAAAAATTTTAAATACAAATAATGTTCATTAGGTAAAGGGATTTCAATTGACCTAAAGACTTATAAGTTAACATTTAAAATGACCTCATAATGATTTAGATTTGTAAATTTGTAAAAACTACTTAAGTATAATTATAAAAAGGAATTACTAATCATCAAATATGCGATAAAGATCAAGACTTGGTACACATGAAATCGAACACTCAAATAGTATATTTCTAACACAGAACTATGATGGATGTACGAATTTAGATCTATTTCATCATCTAGGGTGTTAGGATCAAATGTCAAGTGTATGTATAACTATTATTCATAATATTGAAGGCGATCCATTGAACACAAAGGTCTAGAGCTGATTGTAATGTTAGGTTTGAGTAGGCAGACAAACTATTCCTCTAAATGGAAGAAATAGAAAACCCAGTATTATCAACGACAGCCAAAGTACGGAATTCGGTTGAGTTGAGAAAGAAACAATGAGGGAGAAAAAATTCCTTTCAATTACTAAGAACAGGTTTCTGTGCCAGGCTTTGGGTTATAATTGTTTCAGACAATGCCTAGACATTTGAAAACGAAAGCGAACTGGTCCTTGCACTAATGGTCCGATAGATGAGTGTAAAATATTTAAAATATCTCAACTGCATAATACAAACGTCTAGAAATATTACGAAGAACACGAAATCAATAGACTAGAACATAACCCCTGAACAATAATCATTACCAACTCATCTTTTCTACGGAAATAGTCTTTATATTTACTTTGAGGCTAAACTTAAGTTCCACACAGGCTAAGTAACAGTTCCAATTGTTGTGAACAACTACCGGAACTGTCACTAGCATATACTAGGTTAACACCTAGTATAAAGTAACAGTACACTAGATTAGTACTTGGAGTTACCTGGATTTTAATAATTTGCATTCGTCAGGAGCGGCTGGAAGCTATAACCGTAGTGTTGTAGTAAAAATGAAAGTATATCATTATTTGCACTTACAATCAGTACAATCAAATACTAGGTGGCTATTAGCACAAAACCATACTCATGATAACAGTTTAACCAACTTGACAATATCTACAAGATCGTGAAGCATGTCCATTTTGTAAGAAATGAAAACTAATGTTAACTTGAAATTTACCGATCGTTCACTTACGTCTAGACTTAGACGACCTATCTGGTCCTAAATGTTAGCCGTATTTCGGTTGTGACCCTTTAAATTTTGGTAACGCACGTTATCTTAGCGTTGCTATTTTTTAACTTAAACCAAGACATGGTATCGGTAAAACTCTCCTAGGAACCTCTAATTAGTTTAATTTGAACAGTACATGTATATGACTACCTTACTAGTGGGTATAACCAATGGATTGCACTAACATCGTCAAATTGCTTCTTCAAGTATACAGGGACAACCTTCAAAATAATTTCGAGATCGCCGTTGGTTTACGCAAAAAGTTTTATCCAGAATAATAGTCTTAGACGAGACTAATCTACGCTTCCAAAGTTATGACCTACTTTCTTTTACTTACTAGAAACAAGAATGAGTTTTAAAGTTTTCCCATATTCTGTGGTCATCATTGTGTCTGAGTCAACTAACGGTGCGGACAGTGTAGAGAATGGACTTAGAACATTTGACATTGTACAGAATGATATCTGAGCGACGCGAAATGACCTGTCTGTAAAAGTTAAGTTACTATTACTTTTATCCGAACATAAATTTTTAATACTTGCTGCCTGATAAAAATTTCTTAATAACATTGAAAGTATACATGATATGATAAAATATAATATTTCGTATGGTGGATAACTTACTAGTTCTGGGGGTCCATGTATAGTTAACTTCTTAACTCCTGCGGCCTTTGCAGTCAACGCCACACCTCAAAATATGTTCAACTATAATTTGTACTAACCTAGTAATCCAGAAGTGCAATCCCAAGACATACGCGTGAGAAAAACATGATGTATGCGCGAAGCTTTCATTCTAATGACTATATAAACTGAGAGCATCATTACCGATATTCTGCCAGGACTCTTTGTGTTGACTCACCACAGTTGACTAGATAACGACATACTCCTGTGTCAATGAGCATCGATTTCGAGGAACCAGCACGTCCATTGCCAACAACGGTTAGTGATATTGAGTGTGGTGGTGGTATCATCCTATCTTCAGGGCGTTTATGTTTCAGGAACCGTTTAGGTATTGTTATCAAACGTACGTAACACAAGGAGGAACGCAGCATTCACTCACTGCAAGCCTCAACGAAGTTACCAGTAACCTTGGAAACGTGATAGGAAAAGATGTTTGTAGCCAGAACAAAAAATATCAGATGAACCTCAATAGATTTAAAAGTTTCGGATCTAATGGTTTAAGTGTAGTATCACCCGTAAGTTAGAATGACACATACACAGATATGCCAGGTAAACCACGTCAAGAAGTAGCGCACCTTTTGATAGTATAACCAAATTACCTCAATGCCATCAACTTAATGTCCAATATTCACGAGGTTTTATAAACTGATTTTATTATTTGGGCTTGTTCCTTGTAGACTCTGTACGGTTCCGGGTTTTTGGCTATGTTCAATGAGTAGACGTTTGGCACCTCGAATGTACAAGTTTAGTCAGTTTGGTAATTGTGGATTTATATATCTTGAATCTTGAGTGTGTGTTTGCTTCACGGCAGCAAATCTTTTGGTTGCCGGCAGCTATCGCGTCACCAAGAAGGAGGTTATTTGGTGGCAATTCAGGAAAAAAACCAAATTCTAATGCTAAGAGAAGACGATTGTTTTGATAAATAAATAACTAGGTTAATCCAGATAGTATGATGATACAGAAATGTAAGAATAGGAGAAGAAAAGGGGATGGTAATAAGACAGACAGGCATAACTGAACGTTGTGTGATGATTATAGCAGTAGCTAAATTGTAAAAAATGCATCAGACACAGCTGGTCCATGCGGGAGATATCAATATGTGGACGGACATATGCTCATCTAGTGTCCTCTTGAAGCTGTCCACTAAGAGTGCAGTAGTTAATTTGTCTTAGTGAGCGTTGCAAATAGAACAGCTCTTAATGAAAAAAGTGTGAGCGTACCTTGGTTTTTTTCTTTCTGGTGTGATTTTTCAGTAGTCGCTTTGAGGGACGTGGTGGTGATGTTTTCGTAAGTTTCTCGTATTGTGTAAATTGACATACTTTATCATATGGGATTATCATATCACTTCTTATTCTCCTACGGCTCATTAGGAATAATCCTGCTTCTGAGTCCGTATTCTTAAAATATGTTCCCTAGTCCTGTCACCCACTTAATTGCCCGTCTTTATACTTTGGGTAAGAGATCTATATCTCCTTTGAAGACCTCTAGGTGGGACCGTCAGTTTTTAAACAGTGTCGTGTACAATTTCGTGGTGATTGTGACAAGTTGTATTCATACAAAAGGTTTGTACTTAGCTGACAAGTAATTGATTCTAGGTTGATGAACATTTCAGAAGAGTCTTCAAAACTTTTCTGTTTCGGAAGACAAGGAACATGAAGGTACTTGGGGTGATAACTTATCATTAAGTAGTTTGGATATTGTCATTTAATCACTTCTAGTCCTTCTGTTTGACAAACCAAATGGTTGTGGTTTATCCAGTATTTCGTCGTTTGACAGCATCGAGATTTAGAGAATATGCATATTTGTTGTCTGTTACAATCCAACATGAACTTAACATGGCATACAACTGCTGCAAACGCTAGAGGTTGGAACTCAACACAGAGAAATGCTGCTGACTATGTATTGAAGACACGTTTCTTAAAATAAATCATTCATTACATGGTATATGTAGGACCTATCGTTTTTATTTTCCAACTTACGCCTATACGATATACATTGGGTGGAAGGAATACCAGATTTCACCTGCAAAATACTTAAGATCGACTCACTCATTGACTACGGTTCCCGATGCCATATCTTAGGACTAGAACCCTCATGGGAAAGAAGGCTTAGGTTCAATTCGATTCTCTACTTCAAACTTCCCATAAACTTTACTTAATCCACATGTAATATAGCTATTGCCTAAGACTCACTTGAACACGACCTTCGAGACAAAGTATCTACGGTCAAAGTTGAGAAATACAGATCAAAAACTCGGAAAAACTTCTTCCTCATCAAGTACGCAATAGTGTGGAACAGTCTTACCTCTGAACTACACATGGCAGATGAATTACATACGTTTGTAAGACTTATTGATCTAGCCCTCGCTTGCAATGATCTAGCACGATCGAACACATCTGCGTAGCACTCAGACATCCTAGGCTCTCTACATGTATAGGCCAAATTAGACTCAAAGTTCAGTTTGCTATAATTTCATACTTTGCAGTTGCATTACATACTTTTTCCTCCTTAATTTTTACTTGAAGTAGACAGGTAACTCACTGAACCTATCGATGCTGCTTAACTGGAGTCGGTCACTAATGGGCGCTCACTACTTCCCTAAAACGTCAAGAGAACCGCATAATCGACCACCTCATACTAGCATTCTTGCATCCATGGAGCCTGTAACTCACCGACTGGTTAGGGTGACATAAAGTAACACCAGCACCAAATTAGCGTGAGTTCCTTCTTGTCTATTTTTCATCAGCTTTCTACTCTTCTGCACACTGTTTTGACTTACCATTGATTTTATTTCACCACTGGTTACCTTATTTATAAGCCATATATTCCTCCACCCTTCTGCTTACTTCTGTATACAACTATCCTGCATTATACCCTCCTTAATGTCTATACCCTGATTAGCAACCTATACTCTATACTATGGTTAATTTAAGCATTGCATCGATGCCTTATCCACGGTCCATAATTTGTAGCTGTCTGATAAGCTTGTGAAATGCGACTTATAGAAATAGTGTTTTACAACAGTGTGTGAAACACAGAGCATAGTATGAGGTATGATATATATCCCAAAATAAGCTTAAATGAGCCTAACATCACAAAAGAAGGGAGGGTGGAGTTGCTGACCAGCAAGCATTGGTGGTGAGGGCGATGACTTCAGTCCACCCATGTTTGTGGGGTACAACATTTTGCTTGTATGAGGCTCTTAATGATTGAGAACAAGTCAATCAATCTGTGATATTGAGGTTGTTCTTTTACACTCCATTCAGACTCACGTTTTCAATTTTGTGCCAGATTAGCTATTCTACTAAGATAATCTATAACATTCTAACTCTACAAATATACATAATAACAACTATAAACTTAAAAAGTTTTAGTATACAAATACTTTGCAAGACCAGAATGCAGGGCTGGGATCTGTTGTGTAACACGGACTCAATGCCTTTTTGGAAAATATTTCGATGTCTGTACTCAGTGTAATACTAAAGCATCAACCTTATCAACAATGCTCCAAGACATCTTCACAAACGTACAATTACCCACTTTTGTTGATTTCATCTATTTAACGATCCTATTTGTAAAGCATATTGTAAGCCAACAAATGTTGTAATTTGCAGATCATGTCTGTGAAAATGGTGCGTTTCTCACCTTGCAGAAATATATTTTTATTAAATATGAGTTTATTCGTGCCTCTACGAAAATTAGGACAGCAAAAAACCAGTTATGATAATTTTGACGTAAAAAGGCAGTCGTTTTCGAATACTGTATTTTCCTTGCTAAATTTTAGAAATACATATAATCCTAAACTTTCAGACCTTTTTAATCCCTTCCATTTGCACATAACTTTATTCATTCAACGCCATACTTTGGCTTGTTTTCTGTAACCTGATGAAGTATACTTGCTTAGAAATTGACCGAATGAAAGAGAATGGGTCTTAGTAATAATACCCTTATAGTTCCAACACGAGTAGCCGAACTTCACTAGTAATTAACATTGTCTGTTCGGCTTCACATCCTTCCCTTTTTCTCGCTCATTTTCGTCGCCGTCATGGTAAACTACCGAAAACATTCGTGGAATATACGACTTTGTCTTGTGTCATCACGTATACCTCTGGAATTTATCTGGGATCACTATCGAGAAGCATAAACTAGTAAGTCCAAATTGACGTCTTCAAGTGATTGCTATCGCATCTAGTTCCATGCCTAATTGGCCGCCAATTGCTTATCTCAACGCGACCCTCACAAATCGCGCCAACTGCCATACTGGACATTAGGATCATAATAACATCAGCACCCTGACATGTGAAAAGTTAGCCCTTGTTTGTATTGCCCATGTCCCCTAAAACATATAAAAACAATTGACCTGAAAAAGTGAAGCCTGTAACATTTTTTAAAAACTTAAATCTTGTCTGTAAAATGACATGCCTCATAAAACATATTCCTAATTGAGAATTTGTCATTATTATCCAGGTAACTGGTCCAATTTTATTAAGGATGCTGACATACTCCAGCATGTTTAGCGTTTGAAAACTAAGTTATTGAGGGGTCTTTCCAAACTGTCCTATGATGAGCGATTAAAACGCCCAGAGCCTTACCGTTTATTATTATGCTATGGTAGAACGTGATGTGACCTTATGTTGGTATTCTGTATCTCAAATAGCGATATGCTTTGGCATGTCTTAAGGTTTCGCTCCAGCAGAACTAATCATCTGTGATTTTTTGGTGCTGTTCAATTTATCCTGTATTTACCTACAGGTAAGGTTCCTGAAGAAATCCGTTGCCAGTGATGTTGATGGCAAAGTAATCACCAATATTGAAGAACAACGAAACAGGTGGATAGAACACTTCAAAGAACTCTTGAATCGAATGGCTCCACCGGAACCATCCAACATCGAAGCAGCACCCACCGACCTCCTAATCGATTTTGGCCCATCAACAATTGAAGAGATCAACATGGTCATCGGAAAAATCAAGAGCAACAAAGCTGCAGGACCAGACAACATTCCGGCAGAGGCATTGAAAGCAGATGTAGCAGCAACTGCAAAGATACTCCACATTCTCTCCAGTAAGATTTGGGATGAAGAACAAGTACCAACAGACTGAAAATAAAGACTTCTGATCAACATACCAAAGAAAGGCGATCTCAACAAGTGTGATGAATACAGGGGCATCACTCTTCTCTCAATACCAGGAAGAATCTTCAACAGGGTGTTGTTAAACAGAATAAAGAATTCCGTAGACGCCCAATTTGAAGACCAATAGTCTGGATTCCGTAAGGATCGACCGTGTACAGACCAAATCGCAACTCTACCGATCATTGTGGAACAATCAATCGAATGGAATTCATCACTCTACATCAGCTTCATTGACTACGAGAAAACATTCGATAGCGTGAGCAGGACAATATTATGGAGGCGTCTTCGACACTTCGGTGTGCCTGAGAAAATAGTCAGTATCATACGGAATCCCAATCATGGATTGAAACTGTAAAATCGTACATGGAGGACAACTCACTGACTCGTTCGTGGTAAAGATCAATGTCAGTCAAGGTTGTTTACACCAACCTTCCCCTTTCTCCTGGTGATCGACTGGATCATGAAGACGTCAACATCTAGAGGGAAGCAGGGGATACAGTGTACAACTAGGATGCAGCTGGACGATTTAGACTTTGCAGATGATCTGGCTCTTGTATCACACACGCAACAACAAATGCAGGAGAAGACAACCAGTGTAGCAGCAGCTTCAGAAGCAGTATGTCTCATTGCAAA